AGGGACCATTTGTCACTATTTTTCATTCCTGAAAACATTAATAGGCATCCCTGTAATTACATAGCATGAGTATTTCTACATATAAGTTGGCTTCCTATAAGTTTCTTGGTTAAGTTGCTTGGTCAAAAGGATAATAGTGTTGTTGTTTTTTTTTAAGTTTATTTATTTATTTATTTTGAGAGAGAGAGAGAACACACACAAGTGGGGAAGGGGCAGACAGAGAGAGGGAGAGAGAGAATCCCAAGCAGGGTCTGTCCCACCAGTGCAGAGCTTGATGTGGGGTTGGAACTCATGAACCTTGAGAAAAGGCCTAATACTTTTAAGGAGGGGAAAAATTACTCCCCTTCTTTTGCTGTGGCCACAGGATCTGTGGATGGGAGAAGGAAATATATTCGCAGAGATTCAGGTTTTTATAATGTGCTTTTTTAAAAAATTTTTTTTCAATGTTTTTTATTTATTTTTGGGACAGAGAGAGACAGAGCATGAACGGGGGAGGGGCAGAGAGAGAGAGAGACACAGAATCCGAAACAGGCTCCAGGCTCCGAGCCATCAGCCCAGAGCCCGACGCGGGGCTCGAACTCACGGACCGCGAGATCGTGACCTGGCTGAAGTCGGACGCTTAACCGACTGCGCCACCCAGGCGCCCCTATAATGCGCTTTTTTTTAGACAAGATTATCAATTACAAGACACAAAACTCTGTGATTTATTGAAAATGTTAAATCCTATTTCGTTTACAGGATTGCTGGAAAGTGTTGTTATAAATTTTTTCTAACATTTATTTTTGAGGGCGGGGGCAGAGAGAGAGGGAGACACAGAACCTGAAGGAGGCTCCTGGCTCTGAGCTGTCAGCACAGAGCCTGACATAGGGCTTGAACTCATTTGGGGCTGGAACTCACGAACTGTGAGATCATGACCGGCGCTGAAGTCAGATGCTTATTCAACTGAGCCACCCAGGCGCCCCTGGAGAGTGTTGTTATAAATTGAGTAACATTTTGTGGGGCAGTTTGAGATAGGAATCACTACTATAACACTCTTTCTATGGAAAAATCTGTTTCAAAGTTCAGAAGAAACCTATTTACAAATAACCTAAGTTCACTGCAGGCAGAGACTGCACCTAATTAGTTGCTGTGACTCAAAGATTCTCTGAACACCCACTGTAGGTTGGGTGGTCTTATACCTAACCGGGCTTCTCTCCTAAAGCATGTGTTCTGTTGTCAGTCTCAGCTGGGTGTACTTATTCAATTCTGATGCTAACCTTCTGGAGTTAGGACCCGGCTACACAGGTTTAAGGGCTCCGTTCCTGTGATATGGTGATATAATAAGAAATAAGTGTTTGGTCTTTGCCCTAGTTCCTGGCCCAAGAACTTCTAAAACTTTGAAATTCCCTGAGAAATTTGTCTTTTGTTGTTCAGTATAAGTAAGCTCCTTTCAACCATAGGAGAGTTTATGCTCGTGAGGTGACTCTTGGTGAGCCCCTAGGCGATTTCAGGATGGAAGCTAGTTTCCAGGACAACTAACATTGTGAATAGAGAGCTGGAAATTTCAGCCCCACACCACTCCTCCACTCTTGCCTCTGGGGAAAGGAAAAAGGCTGGGGGTTGAGTTAATCACCAATGGCCAATGGTTTAATCCATCATGCCTATGTAATGGAACCTTCATAAAAACCCTAAACTATGGAGTTTGGAGAGCCTCTGGTTTGGTAAATGCATCCATCTGCCAGGAGGGTGGCACACCTTAACTCTACTAACACAGAAGCTCCTATGGTCAGGACCCATCGCAGACCTTGCCCTGCTATTATCTATACCTTTTATAATATCCTTTACAACTAACTACTAAATGTAAGTATAGTGTTTCCCTGAGTTCTGTGGGCCATTATAGAACCTGAGGAGAGGGTTGTGGGAACCTCTGATTTATAACAAGTTGGTCAGAAGCACAGGTAACAACATGAACTTGGGACTGGCATCTGAAGTGAGTGTGTGTGTGGTGGGGGGGTGGAGGGGATCTTGTGGGTCTGAGCCCTTAACTTGTAAGATCTGATGCGAACTCCAGGTATTTAGGGTCAGAATTGAATTAAACTGTAGGATACCCAGCTGAAGTCTGGAGGGTTGAAGGATTGGTTGTTGATGTGAGAAAAAAATCTACACATTTGTTGCCAGAACTTAATTGCTGTGAGTGAAAAACAGATCTTAGTGGTCCCAACAAGACTGCCCTCATTGCAATCGCCAGCCACACGTTAGGAGTCCCCAGGCCAACTGAAGTTCTGACTAACTGGCTGTAAATTCAGGGTTTTTCATGACTCCCTTAGATTTGACAATTCACTAGAATGACCCACAGAACTCAGAAAACCATTGGCCATTGGTGATTAACTCAACCTCCAGCCCTTTTCCTTTCCCCAGAGGCAAGAGTAGAGGAGTGGTGTGGGGCTGAATTTTTTCCAACTCTCTATTCACAATGTTAGTTGTCCTGGCAACTAGGTCCCATCCTGAAGTCACCTAGGGGCTCACCAAGAGTCACCTCATGAGCATAAACTCTCATATGGTTGAAAGGAGCTTATACTGAACAACAAAAGACAATTTTCTCATGGAATTTCAAAGTTTTAGAAGCTCTTGGGCCAGGATACAGATCAGAAACAGCCAAATGAAGAGACACATCAGGTTCATTCTAGGGGAACAATGCAAAGCTTCTGTGCCTTCTTCCTGTGGAGTAAGGATGTATCTCCTGGTACATCAGTATGTTCACCAACCAGGAAGCTCCCTCGAGCCTAGGTGTCCAGAGCTTTTGTTGGGGTTTTATTACCATAGGCAGGATTGATTAAATCATTGGTCAGGTGATTAATTAAACTCAATATCCAGAGCCCTCCCCTCCTCAGAAGGGTAAAGGTCCGATCTTCTGATCAAGTGCCTGGGTCTTTCTGGTGACCAGCCCACCATTCTGAAGCTACATAGGGGCACACCTTGCGTCACTACTACCAAAACAAAGACACTCTTGTCACTCAGGAAATCCCATTCTTTTGAAGCTCTGGGCCAGGAGCCAGTGACAAAAACTACATCCATTCTTTTTAAAACTTAGGGGCATCTGGGTGGCTCAGTCAGTTAAGCATCTGACTTCGGCTCAGGTCGTGATCTCGTGGTCCATGAGTTCAAGCCCTACATGGGGGCTCTGTGCTGACAGCTCAGAGCCTAGAGCCTGCTTTGGATTCTGTGTCTCCCTCTCTCTCTGCCCCTCCCCACTTGTGCTCTCTCTCCCTCAAAAATGAACAAATATTTAAAAAATTAATTATTTTTTTGAATTATTTGTACACACATATATATTGATTTACAAATATATACAATTTGTTGTTGGCAGATACATTCTTTCAGGTGCCGCAGTGTGTATCATACTCTTTGTCATTGCCACTGGGCCTGTCTCCAGGATAAGCTCTGGGAAGGCAGAAGCTCATCCTGTTGTTTGCCACTGAAGCTCTAGAATCTTATTTGGGGCCTGTCACATAGGGTACACTCTATACATTTGCTGAGCAAATCAATGAGGCTGGCACTGAGGTAGTTTTAGACTTCAGATATTGCTTATGCTGTATTAAAAAATGACATTTCACAGCCAAAATGTCTATCAGTAGCGAACTAGTTGAAAATATCAGGGTTTGTTCATACAACGGAGTTACCATCAAAAAAGATTGAAGCTGCTCTAGGCAGATGTGCTAATAATGGATAGATCTCTAAGACATATTATGTAGTATTACAAACAAAAGTTAAGGTGCAGAACAATATTGAGTGGTATGTTCTCTTTAACATATACTACAAAGTGTTTAAGTCTTAAGCATTCAGCTTAGTGGCTATTTTCCAATACATCTGTATTTACCACTTTGAAGATTGAGATTTAGAACATTTCCAGGACTTGGAAATCTTTCTCAGATTCCCCTGCAGTCCATACCCTTCAGATGGAACCATTATTCTGACTTCTCTCACTTTAGATTAATTTTGCCTGTTTTTGAACTTTATATCTTTGGAATCACACATAACATACTGCCTATTTAAACTAAATATTCTATCCTGTTACAAATAAATAATGCTTTGTAACTTGCTTTTCCTACATAGCATGATATCACGAACATTTTGCAATTAAAATTTGCAATAAAGGGCCGCTTGGGTGGCTCAGTTGGTTAAGCATCTGACTTCAGCTCAGGTCATGAACTCGCGATTTGGTGGGTTCCAGCCCTGCATCGGGCTCTGTACTGACAGCTCAGAGCCTGGAGCCTGCTTTGGATTCTGTGTCCCCTTCTCCCTCTCTGTTCCTCCCCTGCTGACACCCTCTCTCTCTCTCTCTCAAAAATAAATAAAAATTTAAAACATTTTAAAAATCTGCAATAAAAATCATGGTTTTAAATTGCATTGTGGATAGTATATTCTTGGTTATATTTAAATATTTATTATTTTTCTTTTCTTTTCTTTTCTTTTTTTTTTATTCATGAGGGAAGAGGACTTCAGAGTATCCATACAGGCAGCAGGTGAGAAACTGGGGAGTCAAACCTGCGACTCAGATGCTCCCTCTTCCACTGCAAAATGCTAAGTGTTCAAATACGTATAGAGCCTTGCAGAGGTCTTGCACAGGGCATTATAATAGCAACAAGAATGACTAATAAGTATTAATGGCTCATGACAAGAGAACAAATGCTATTAATTATCCTAATATTTTAGGCGTATTGGTAATGTTTGTGCAGTATTATTCATGCAAATATTATTAGCCTGTGTCAGGGGCAGTCGTTGGGCCCACAGAACCAGGGTCACAGCTCAGAGCTCAGCTGCTCATCCCAGATGTGCAGGGGCTGGGACTTGCAGGGATTCACCCCGGTGGAGCTCTGAGGCGCCAATGGGCGCGTAGGAGGCGGAGCCCTGGGAGCGACAGCGGTGCCACCCAATGGGCCGACAGCTGGGGCCGTCTGTGGCCAATGGGCGCGCTCCTCCGCGAGGTCGGAAGTGGTGAGGCAGCTCCGGGGGCCGTTGTTCAGTGCGGGGGCCGAGTGAGGCGGCTCTGTGCGTCCGTGGCTAGCGGGTCCGCTGCAAGTCCTTGCTCTCGTCTCGGGTGAGTGTAGCGGTGGCCCGCGCCTTGGGAGCCCCCTGTGGCCTCCGGTTAGGGAGGAGGCCGGCATCCTGACGGCGGGGTGTGTGGGCGAGGGGACTGTGGGCCCCGGGGGTCGCGGCCGTAAGGAGAAAGACGGCCATGCCGCCGCGTCTCCTCAGGCCAGTGGGGGAGGCCGCGCGCTGTCCTCAGGGAACCGGAGCCTAGACAGCCCCCGGCGGCGCCGCCCCTCGGAGGCCTGGGCACGGGCGTCTGGGAAGTGGGCGTCGTCCGGAGCGCCACTGTGGGCACCGCGCCCCGGGCGGAGCCGCGAGTGTGTGTGTAGGGCGGGGGGGCGGGGGGTCGCGTTAGCCTAGTTGCCGGCTCTAGTCCCCCCTCCGACCAACCGTGCGGCGGCTGTCTCCCCTCACTTCTGCTTTCGCGGGCTCCGAAATGGGATAATGACTTTCACCTCCTGGGGCTGTGGTCTGAAGGAGAAGAGAACGTGGAGAGCGTTTAGGATTATCAGAGGCACAGTAAATGTTAACCGCTGTTATTTGCGAAGCTGATGCCCTCTCCATGCCCCATCCCCGAACTCCCGGGCCTCCCCGGGTGAAGGGGCGGTTGGAAACCGCCTCCTGGGTCTGGACTCTGAGGGGGCAGCTGCCCCCCCCCCCCCAATGCCTAAGAAGGGGGCTCCTTCTAAGGTCGAAGACTTGCCGTAGCAGAGCACTTCGTGCATTCGCTCATCTACTCCGTACAACGACCCTTTGAAGTATTGTCACTTGTCTGCCTGAGGAATTTGAGGCCCAGAAAGGTGAAGTCCCGTGTCTCCTGAAGGTCAGGACCGGAGCTCGACCCTCAGGGGGGCCCCGCTCTGAGCCCTGCACGCCACCCCCATTCTCCTTGCCGACAGAGGGCACTTTCCGCATCCGAGGCTCTGGTCTTGGTTTAGTTTCTAGAGGGCACCTAGAAACAGTCAGACTGCCCTTAGAGAAGTATCTCGTCTTGACGCTTTGGGACCGTGATTTGTTTTCACAGATAGGTGCTTCCTGTCCCTCCTTTACATTTCCTATCAGAGCGGTTAGCTTGACTCATGTAACTCCCTAATTTAAAACCCATCAGTGGTTTACCTTTGGGCTTGGAATATAATCCAGTACCCTTTCTGCTCTGTTTGATAAGGCCTTGAATCATTCCCCTTTTTCATTATGCTCTTCCAGAGCTACCTTTACTTTCTCTTTCATTGCATTTGAGGCCCTCTGCCTGATTGGGTTTTTCCCCCACGCCCGTCCTCTTACTTCCTTTTCACACTGCAGGTCTTAGTTTAAATGTCATCTTCTCAGAAAGTTCTCTCATCACCCTTATCTAAAGTAGACTCCCTTCATCTCCATTTGTGTGCTACCTACTTTTCCATAGAAATGCTCAATGTATATCCGTTTCTTTATTTTTCTCCATTACTAAGTTGATCTGTTAGATCAGACAGTATATATTTCTTGAATTTGTAAAGTGTTCTTAGTGCCTGGGCCCAGTGTGTGGCACACGGCGTCTCAGTATGTTGAATGAGTATGTGCTTTGAAAAGTGAGTTCTTTTAGAACCGTCAGATCCATCAAAGAAAGAGCCCTTTCGGGGCAGTGTTTAAGACCATTTTTGTGTCACTGTAAATCTGAAGTAAATAGTGATTAAAAAAAAAATTGCCAGCACTTTGCTCTCTGTGCTGACATCTTGTTTAAAAAGAAGGAAAAACTTTACAGTGCACAAACCCAGCAGACATTCTCAGCTAAGGATCGAAGTTAACATCATCTATAATAATAAGATTGTTGACATCATGTGCCTTCTGATATAATGCACTGACAATGAGCACGACATCAGTTCTGTGGTATTCTTGCTAAAGATGTGTTAGCCATGAGAAAACATCAAACAAACTCAAACTGAAGGGAATTCTACAAAATACCTAGCCAGGACACTTAACAAGGTTCTGAAAGATGAAAAACTAAATATCGTAGATCAAAGGAGATTAAGGAGAAATAACTATATGCCCTTTGTGACCCTGGATTGGATCTTGAACAAGAAAAAGGGAATTAGTGGGATGATTCATGAATATGATCTATAGGTTTATTAATATTGTGTTAGTTTCCTGCACTTGATAATTTTACTGTGGTTGTTTAAAATGTATTGGGTGAAGGGTATACAGGAGTTTTTTTGGTGCTGTTTTTGCAAGTCAAATTATTTTACAATGAAAATTAAAAAATAAAAAGGTAAAATCCAAGGGTATGAGCTATTAAATAAAATGCTTTAATGTACTGGTTTTGGTAACATTTTTCTGGGTACTTGTGTTTTGCTTTTGTGTTTTGCATGTCATCCTAAAAGCAGAAACGAAATTGAAAGTTTACACTTCTTCCTTTATAGTTTTCAGGAAGAGCTAAAGATGGCTGAATTTCTAGATGACCAGGACACTCAACTGTGTGACAACTGGTAAGAGATTAAATCTAGGAAATGTTATTGGAATGAGAACAAACTTGCTTCTGTAAAGGGTTGGTTTATTTATTGGCAGGTTAAAATTGAGACCACATATGTTGTGGAAATATATGGGACTAAAGCCTTTTTAACAATTTTATATAACATTGTTTTATTAATTTGAGAAGATAGTGGGTTCAGATAGTGTAGAGAAATGACTATAGAGTGATATGATGCAGCTGGGAGTCTGGAGCTCTGGTGCCTGCCTTTAGTTAATGACTTGGCAAATGACCCCACTGACTGTTTTTGGAGCTTCACTTTTCTGATGTATAAATCAGCAAATTTATTTTTTGTCTTTCTGAAAAACATCAGACTTTTAAATTTTTATTTTTTTTTAATTTATTTTTATTTTTTTAGGTAGGCACTGCCCTACTTAACTCACAACCTTTAGACCTGAGATCAAGAGTCCCATGCTCTACCGACTAAGCCAGCCAGGCGCCCCTCATACATTTTTAAAAAGATACTAAAAATATAATGCAATGTCTGGAGTAGATGAGTGTTTTTCAGATGTGTTGCAAAGATTTCCCTGTGTGGCTACGGTGGCTTTCTTGGGGATGATTGGGAAGAGGTTTAGTGAGCTTGGCTCTACATCTAACAGTGAGAGCAGTTCAACCAGAGCCGCTCAACTTTTTATAAAGGATTTTGCCGAAGGAATGTTCCCCCACTTAAAAAAAAAAAAAAAAAAAAAAAGTCTGGGTAAAGTCTTCGGCAGTCCAGCTTAATCATTATCACTTCGTGATTCCAGAACTGTTTGTGAAGACTGGGTGTAGTCTTGAATATTAAACTTTCTGTTTTGGCGTGTGTAACCCATGTGAGTGACATGAAAGAGCAGCTTTTTCTTCCTGAAATGAAACTTAGAAGTGTAGCTAATAATTTCTTGAGAATTTGGTATTTTAGTGACATATAAGTGCTCTTATGGAATGCTAAAGAAAAAAAGCTATGTTTAACTTAACGAAATTAAGGGAAGTGTAGAAGGGGAGAGATGTTGAATAAGGAAAATAGTTTGACTCAGATTGATGGAAGGTTCGAGCCACCTAACAACAATTTTATTTTTTTATTGCCTCTTTCAATTTTTGCTCAGGGCTTTCAGCAAAATTAGGATATAATCAGAGCAACTGCTGATTGCAGTATTCCTTCCCTGAACAGAATTAAGATTCATTTCTAAGAGGGCACTTGCTTTATGGGGCATTTTTTTCCTACTATGCCATTATCACTTTCTGCCAATTTAAAAACTACTTGAGTTTTGTGTTTCACATATGCCATTACTGTTAATGAAACAATCAGTTATGCTAATAATCACAAGAAAATATTGTGATTATGTAAGAAAACATACTGGCAGTGTCATCAGTTACGATACTCTTTATAAGTCCACTTCAATTTGAAGGAATCTCAAGGCCAGGACAATATATAAATAACTATGCTAAGGGAGTTTAAAAAAAAAAGGGTAAGTTAATGGAAAGCTAATGAAAAGAGGGTTATTCAAAGCCAAAGCAATTTATTTAAAGAAAAAAGATTAGCATGGAAGGGTGACTAAACCAGCACAGGCCTCTCATCTAAGTAACCTTATTTGAATTCCAGGTTTAAAATTTTTGTTTTTAGAGCCATATTTCTATAGTTCCTTAAGAAAAGTTAAGATAATCTTTAACGTGTGAGCTGCTGGAGTGCCTTGCCTGACTGGCTCAGTTGGTAGAGCATGCAACTCTTGATCTTGGGGCCCTGAGTTTGGACATAGAATATACTAAAAATAATAAAAAAATTTAAAAAGTTAAAAATGTGAGCTGCCCTTAGATCCACTAGACCAGTAAAAAGAGTAGTTTGTTATTGAAGATGTTTTTTGCATGTTATCTCCCTTCTCTGATTGTGGGGAGTAGTTCTAGGGAACAGGAACTTCAGTGTTAGAAGGCTTTGACTTTTAGGGGCACCTGGCTGGCTCAGTTGGAAGAGCATGCGACTCTTGATCTCAGGATTATGAGTTCAGGCCCAATGTGAATTGGGTGTAGAGATTACTAAAACCAATGAAAAAAAAGGGAGGGAGGCGCCTGGGTGACTCAGTCGGTTAAGCATCTGACCTTGGCTCAGGTCATGATCTCAGTTCGTGAGTTCTAGCCCCTCATCAGGTGAGCTTGAACCCCACTTTGGGTGAGGCCTGCTTTTCTCTCTCTCTCTCTCTCTCTCTCTCTCTCTCTCTCTCTCTCAAAAAGCAAACAAAAAGGCTTAGACTTTTATTTTTGTATGTATTAAAGAATTGATTTCTAGCTTGTGTTTAGCATTTAGAAGGCTGATGGGAATTTTTCTGGAAGCCTTGGCTTGCCTTTCAGTCACTTCTATCTAAAATAAAATTTTAGGGGTGCCTGGGTAGCTCAGTTGGTTGAACATCCGACCTCGGCTCAGGTCATGATCTTGCGGTTCATGAGTTTAAGCCACCATGTTGGGCTTGCTGCTGTCAGTGCAGAGTCAGCTTCGGATCCTCTGACCCCTCTCTCTAACCCTCCCCCATTTGAACGCTCTCTCAAAAATAAACAAACATTTAAAATAAAATGAGGGGCACCTGGGTGGCTCAGTCAGTTAAGCGTCTGACTCTTAATTTCAGCTCAGATCATGATCTCAGTTTGTGAGATTGAGCCCCGCGTTGGGCTCTGCGCTGACCACAAGGAACCTTGGGATTCTCTCTCTCCCTTTGTCTCCATCTCTCCCTCGATTGTTCTCTCTCTCAAAATAAATAAACTTTAAAAAATCAAATAAAATGAAATTTCATCTTTAACTTGCTAGTTCCTCCATCCTTAAGGCTTTTTAGCAGTTTTATTTAGATATGGAATTGTGTTCTCATTTTCTTACTTAAAACATCTTGTTTTTTATCTGTAGGTAGGAAGCAACCATATTGGTATTTTGTCTGGTTGGAATGTTTGGTGTGACTGTCTTGGCAGTTAAATTAATTTTTTATTTTATTTTTTTTTTAATGTTTCTTTTTATTATTTTTTTAACATGTATTTATTTCTGAGAGACCAAGAGAGACAGAGTATGAGCAGGGGAGGGGCAGAGAGAGAAGGAAACACAGAATTCGAAGCAGGCTGCAGGCTCTGAGCTATCAGCACAGAGCCCGACGTGGGGCTTGAACTCACAAACCACGAGATCATGACCTGAGCTGAAGTCGGACACTTAACTGACTGAGCCACCCAGGCACCCCCAAAAATGTTTATTTTTGAGAGAGAGAAAGAGCATGAGTGGGAGAGAGGCAGAGAGAGAAGGGGACAGAGGATCTGAAGTGGGCTCTGTGCCGATAGCAGTGAGCCTGACATGGGGTCTCAAACTCCAGCCATGAGATTATGACCTGAGCTGAAGTTGGAGGCTTAACTGACTGAGCCACCCAGGTGCCCCAAAAAGAAAATTATTTTTAAAATTATGAATTTCAGCAGTAATTATTAGCTTAATTTTTTGTGGCATTTGTACATGTATGATTTGCAATCATGATATAGCTCTACTTTCATTTTGTTGTACATATTTAACATAGCCATTAACTTACTTAGACGTTTTTAGTGTTTTTTTTAAATCATTTTGTCACACTAATGAAAATCTTCACAATCCCAAGAGTGAGATTACGTCGTTAAAGACTGTATTATGGTCCTAGAAACACATTTTCAGGCTATTTTTAAGCAGTTTACAGTATCACTGGTGATGTATTAGAATATTAGTTTCACAACATATTTAATGGTAGAATTTACTAATTTTTAACTTTTGTTAATTTAATAGGTTTAGATGATAACTTTGATTTATAGCTCCTTCTATATATTTTAATATTCTCTAGTTGAAAAAAATAAAACTGAATTAAAACTACTGGTTTCCTTAGAAAGCCAGGAATTTTAGAGAAATAGGGGAAATTAAATCTTTCAAGACATTGGTAGTTTCTTTATCCATTTGAGTTTCCTTCCCATCTCACAGTTGATTACCTTCCAGTTTCTCTATAAGAGCTGCCTTAATAATTCCACCATTCGGTAAAAATGAATTTGCATTTATTTGGTGTCTTGGTCTTTCAGACTAGGAGTATGACTGTCGCTGGAGACACATCAGTCATCCTACTTTAAAATGTTTTTTACACTATGGTTGGAGATTAAAACTATGTAAAAGAGAATTAAGCTGTCTATATTTCAGTGTGGAAGAGAATTCCTATAGTACTTAGCTTTGGAGGTGAAATAGGATATTAAAGATTTCTTGTATAGGGACGCCTGGGTGGCTCAGTTGGTTAAGCGTCCAACTTTGGCTCAGGTCATGATTTCGCAGTTTGTGAGTTCAAGCCCTGCATCGGGTTCCGTGCTGACAGCTGGAGCCTGCTTCAGATTCTGTCTCCTTTCTCTCTGCCCCTCCCCTGCTCACACTCTGTCTCTGTCTCTCTCAAAAATAAACAAACACTAAAAAAAAACTTCTAAAAAAGATTTCTTGTATAATTGTCATTATTTATTGTGTTCAGTATTTTTCTGAAATTTTAATCTAGGTGACATTATTTTTTCTTTTAAAGTTTGAGAGAGAGAACGCTCGCAAGCACATGCTCACAGAAGGGCAGACTCCCTGCTGTCAGTGCCCCTCGGAGCCCCACTCGGGGCTCAGTCCCACTAACTGTCAGATTATGACCTCAGCCGAAATCAAGATTCAGACTTTTAACTGACTGAGCCACCCAGGCACCCCCATAGACACATTTTCTAAATACAATTTTTAGCTAGACTAAAATTGGGAGTTTTCTGATGGTCACATCCAAATGACAAAGTAAAGACTTTATTTTTTAATATTTTTTTAAGGAAAAAAATTTTGAAGTTTATTTATTTTGAGAGAGAAAGCACAAGTTGGGGAGGAGCAGGGAGAGAGGGGGAGAGAGAGAATCCCAAGCAGGCTCTACACTGTTAGTGCAGAGCCTGATGAGGGGCTCTAACTCACAAACCATGAGATCATGACCTGAGCTGAAGTTGGACACTTAATTGCTTGAGCCACCTGGGCACCCCAAGACTTTTTAAAAATTTATTTCTTTTGAGAGAGAGGCATGGGCACAAGTTAGGGAGGGGCAGAGAGGGAGGGAGAGAGAGGGAATCCCAAGCAGGCCCTGCACTGTCAGTACAGAGCCCAACGCAGGCTCAAACTCATGAACCATGAGATCATGACCTAAGCCAAAATCAAGAGTCAGACGCTCAACTGACTGAGCCACCCAGGCACCCCTAGATAGGATATTTAATTGGATTCCTTAAACTAAAAGAGAATGGCAAAAAGTGAGTGAGGAGACAAGATTGGGGGAAGGGATTCAGGACTTCATTTTTGTACAGTTCTGCAGTGAACTTTATATCAACAAGGACAGAGAGCATGTTCCTGACTAATATCTAGCCCACTTTGAAAGGCATCTGGGATATAAGGGAGGCAGTTTTTTCTTTCTTTCTTTCTTTCTTTCTTTCTTTCTTTCTTTCTTTCTTTCTTTCTTTCTTTCTTTCAGCTTATTTTGAGAGAGAGAGTGCAATTAGGGGTAGGGGCAGAGAAGAGAGAGAGTGAAAGAGAATCTCAAGCAGGCTCTGCACTGCCAGCATAGAGCCTGATGAGGGGTTCCAGTTTCTGAACCGTGAGATCACGACCTAAGCTGAACTCAGCTGCCCAACCAACTGAGCCACACAGGTGCCCCAGGGAGGCAGTTTTCTGTTCCCCACTGGCTATCCCAATGCTGGCATCTGCTCTTTTTGGTTTGACTTTTAGTGGAATAAAGTCTAATGAGATTAAACCTACCTCAGACTGAGAGTGAAAATAAATGGTAGGCTGTTTTGTTCTGGGTTTTTTTGTTTTTTTTTTTTAAACAGTCCTGGAGTGTATCGTTGTGCTTGGGATCATGGATGGTTTTAGAAAAGCCTAGCTTGGGGCACCTCGGTGGCAGTCAGTTGAGTGTCCGACTTTGACTCAGGTCATGATCTCATGGTTCGTGAGTTTGAGCCCCACATTGGACTCGCTGCTGTCAGCGCAGAGTCCGCCCCAGATCTTCTGTCTCCCTCTGTCTGCTGCTCCCCTGCTTGTGCTCTCAAAAATAAATAAACATTTATCAACATTTATTTA